GCCTCTGGTCAACATCAACATGAAGCTACAGTACATTATAAAGAAAGAGAAAATACATGTACATACACAATTTAATAAGACAAATAATACTTTCTAGTTTCTACTAAGTATAAAAATACTAAAAATGCAAAGGTCTAAATACATGTACAGTAGTGTAGTACACAATACATGTACACGTACATGTATGTAAAAATACATGTACATGTAGTTCATGCATGCTTTCAACCATTGAACCATGTACTGTAGTATTGGCTTACTTCAGGTTGTACTATGATAGTGCCAAGGAGTGTGAAGAGATTAGAGAAACCAATGGGAGTGCACATGCTAGTAATCAGTACACCAATCATTGACATACAGGAATAGAGTATGGGTATGTATAATACTAGACCTTTGATGTCCTGAGAGAGAGAGAGAGAGAGAGAAAGAAATAATATAAGCAGACATGAGTCAACTACATGTACATGTACATGTACATGCATGCACATGTATCAACAAAATACCTGAATATGTAGTGTACTATTAGTATAGGGTTGGATTGTTTAAATTTCAAAATGCTCATAACTCGAAAAATATTTGTCGGAAACAGCTCAAACTTTCTATACAGCATAAGTACATCAATGTGTATCAGAAAATGTAATAAAAATTGGGGGTGATTTCTGAACCATTTTTTGGAAAAAACCATGGGCTATAGCCTTGGGTATTTTTCAGATTTTTGACGTTTTCTTAAAATGGCCGTAACTTGAAAAATTGAAATCGGAATGAGCTCAAACTTTCTACACAGCATAAGTACATCAATATGTATCAGAAAATGTAATAAAAATTGGGGGTGATTTTGGAGCCATTTTTTGGAAAAATCCATGGGCTATAGCCTTGGGTATTTTTTAGAATTTTGACGTTTTCTTAAAATGGCCATAACTTGAAAATTTGAAGTCGGAATGAGCTCAAACTTTCTACACAGCATAAGTACATCAATATGTATCAAAAAATGTAATAAAAATTGGGGGTGATTTCAGAGCCATTTTTTGGGAAAAACCATGTGCTATAGTACAGAGTTCACAATATACTGACCATTAAGTAGAAGGACATGCTGTGAATGTGAAGGGTAAGTGAATCAGCAACCCAAACAGTTCCAATAACTAAGAGAGCTAACATTAGTAAGACTATCACTGCTTCATACACCCGAGACATAATACCCTGAAAGAGATAGAGCAAAGGAAAGAGAGCAGGAAACACAATAAATAATGTAAATGTAGTACAATGTTAATACACATGCACATGTACACTGTACATGTATACTGTAGTAACACATACATGTACAATGTATGTGCATGTAAATACATGTACATGTTATTACCTTTTTTGTTCCAGGAAGTCCTTCAGCTTCATAGAAAAAGTAAGCAAACGGTAGCAACAGGAACAAACATACATTGGAGCCCAGGAATACCAAATTCCACAAACCTACAGTACAGTACACAAACATATTATCACACACAATTATCATACAGTGACGCCAAATATGTACAAGCACCACACACATACATAAAAGAGTGAAAAGACAAATGATATCATAATATTTTAGAAGATAAAAGACAATACATACAGTACATGCACAATAAAAATCCTGACCTTTTACAAGTGAAGTATCTAGCCACCTGATGTATGATGTATTTGGATATATGTGACGTATTTCATTACTGATGATAGAGGAAGGGAGAAGAATGACTGAACTTAGACTAACAGAAACAGCAACTGCACACAATATTGTGCTACAAAAGAAAAGGAACGTAGGATAAACTACATGCACATGTACACGTGCATGTACATGTAGCAATAGCTAGTATACACTGTACATGTACATGTGTATGAGCATGTACATGTACATGTGCATGTACAAGTGTAATTGGCTTACGTTATTTTGTACACTATGGCATCTTGCTCATCTGAGGGTTAGAAGGGAAAACAAAGAAAGTGAAATTAATTTACGAGGATTAGACTTACTATTTAAGGCTCCACTCTCTTTTGCTTTCTTGAAATATTTAACAATTGAGTAGCCACAGATGTACACACACATGCACAAGAGGAGACTAATCTAATAGTAGAGAGGAAGAGAGAGAGAGAGAGAGAGAGAGAGAGAGAGAGTGAGAGAGAGAGAGTGTGTGAGAGAGAGAGAGAGTGAGAGAGAGAGAGAGTGAGAGAGAGAGAGTGTGTGAGAGAGAGGGAGAGTGAGAGAGAGAGAGAGTGAGAGAGAGAGAGAGAGTGAGAGAGAGTGAGGCTGACATGTAGTACTATTGCTTCTTGCACAAACAAACACAGATAATGTATAATGTATGTTTGTAAATGCACAAGTAGCACAAAATAGGTACATACATGTATAATGTACATGTGTCAGTCAAATCTGTCTATTCTGGACAACTTAGGACCATATATTGTCCTGATTATAGGTGTCCTTATTCATAATAGGCAGGTTTGACAATACATGCACAAGGCTACTTATGATAAATGTATATTTATGATAAATACATGTACATGCACTATACGTGTATATTGTAGAAGGTGTTTATGGCTATGTTGAAGAGGTACTAAACAGGAAGTAACTGCATACTATCTATAGACCACAGCTAGCCACAATATATAATAGAAGCATTATGAATATTATCAGGGAATCATCTGACTCTGAACTTGGCAGGCATTTCTTACAACGCTGCCATATTAAAAATACATGTACATGTACATGAAATGTACCAAACACAACTCCCACATCTTTAATTGGATTAATCATTGTTTACTGGTTTTATTAGCTACATCAGCAAACATGTACTTATTTCAAGAGAAAAGAAAATGAGAATGTCATTAATGAAATACAGTCAAAAGAGTTCATTAAAATACATGTGTATATTGTAAGTCCAGTATCATTGCTCTAGTTATCTTACCACGCATTCCCTCACAAAACTGTAGAAGGCTCTCTGCTCTTCTGGATCGACTAGTATATCAGGGTCTTCTATTGTTAGCGAGGAAGAAAGAAACACACTCTCTTTCTCCTCCATCAATCACCTCTCATGAAGAGGAGGCGTGTCACCAACCACGCCTTCAAAATGCAACTTCCTAGTTCCGCGCCAAAACCCGCGGCCTAACCTCTGTCTCCTTGGCAACCGATAAATGAAATGGCAGGCAATGATACCTGTGTTAATGGACTGTGGGAAGACGGTGTATGCGTGTGTGATCCTAGATATGAACTTGGTTTTAACGAGCTGGAACTAAATCCAAGGTACTGCTTGGAAGAGAAAGTGACTGTTATAGCAGTAATACCATACGTCACTGGTGAAGAGTTAGTTCACACGATTACAATTGGGCTAACCGTCTTCCTTGCCACATGGGCCATACTCTCATTTCTTGTATTGTTAATGAGCATTAAGGATATGAGTACAATACACACTGATCTACAAGTACTAAACCTAGAACTTGAGGAGTTTGTGAAAGAGAATGAAAAGTACCCACAGGCTCAAGATATGATGGATGCAACATTGTGGGAACCTCCAAGACATTTTAAGTGTCTAGAAACAGTAGATGTAATGTAATGTAATACAAAATCATTAAAATAATCATTATCTCATCTATTGTATAATAATTATTATTAATTAAAATGAATTCATTGGTTTATCATGCATGCATGCAGCCCCACCCAATCACTTTTCCTGATCATGCTAAAAAGCTAGATAATGGCTAGTAATTCCTATGCTATTTTAGTGCTGGTTGCTGTTGCAATAGCACAGTGCAGCAGTTCATCATTGAGTAGGCACACAGAAAGCAGCTCCAGCATCAAAGACAGCACCAGTTATGATGTCATTGTCTTTGGAGCAACTCCTGCAGGTTTTGCAGCCTCACTGGGAGCTAAAGCTGCTGGTGCAGAGAAAGTATTACTACTAGAACCAACAGCCTATGTTGGAGGAATGGCTTCACCAGGTGGTATTGGACTACGGGA